CCCCCCCCCCCCCCCCCCCCCACCCCACCCCGTCCTTTACTGTTTCTGTTATTCCCTAGTCAGCAGGCCACACATTGACCTTTGGATCCTCCCACTTCTCTCTCATGTCGGCAGTCAAAGTTCAAACAGAGAGGAAATAAATTCTGTCTGTAAATAATGCAAAAACCATGCACGTGCAAACACAGTTTCCCTGCACACGTGCACTACAAATGTTGTAATCCCTTATTTCCCTGAGACTTTATTAGGTTTTTCCAACATTAAGGGTCACTTCTGTATAGTGTTCAAGTCCATTCCTCAATATTTAATGGCCAGGCTGTTTGTTCTCAGATCAAAAGATTAGCTTTGCTCAGACATAACGCCGTGGATCGGCGTGTGCTCGGGGCTGCTCGGCCTCTCGGGCCCCGGGCCAGAACTTGGAGCCGTCGCAGAGAATAGTGAGCCTCTATTGTTGCGGCTTTCAAACTGGCTGGCTGCTGCGGTGAGCAAACAGGCACGCTGGCACGCAGACATTTACTGATCATCACACACACACAAGCGGACAGCGTATCAACAGAACGAGTCAGTGTCAGGTCAGCCGGCTTAGCCTGTGGACAGCAATGCATTGTTGGACATTTGACAGTGCAGGCATTCAGTTGTTGCTGGTGACTCAGAACCAGTGGGCCGGGCAGAGAACAGCGGGACCAACAACACCTGCCTTCACATTATCTCACTATTGTGTTCAACACACTTAAAGAGCAACAAAACATTAGAAAAAATTTTAAAAAAGCAAACACCAACTTGGAAATAGTTTGATCCAGAATATTAGAAAGATATACGAACAGTAGCTAATAACTGCTAAATTATGTAAGCCTGAGAGAGCAGTATTAGAAGTTTAAATAAAGATTTGATGCACACACACACGCAAATGTTCAGATGAACACATTTCATAACAGAGCAATAAAACGAACTCTGCAAGCAGGGATGGAAACATTCAGAGTCATTTAATCAAGTCGTCATCTTCAGGTAGCTTTATTGCATGCTCTCTATTGCTGTTTCTCTTTACAGCCACCCTCACGAACTCCACTGAGCACGTCGAGAAATGAATAATAATAAAAAAAAACAAGGTGGAATATTGAGACTCTGGGTTCAAGTGTTTACGTCAAGTTAAAAAGATGCCTAAGAGCTGAGATATTAAACCATCATATTCACCTTTCAGGTCTTGCACCTTGTTTCTTTCTGTGTTTAATGTAGTGAAATACATTTTTAAAAAGTCTTAAACGTACTCCTTATGTTATGTGTGGGGACTTAAATTGGTCGACAACAGTGTTTTTACAGACACAATTATCCTTTTAAGTGCTCCTTATTCATAATATGTTGTATAAATAGGGAAATGTTCACACTGTTATAAATATTGAGCTTTTTTGTAATTCAGTGCACGAGAGAGACATGTAGCATTTCCAAACCAAAACGCGTCTGTTGCAACGTTATGCCTGTAAAACCAACACACTAACACACACCGAACACCAAGGCACGGCTGCACTAATGACTCATCTCTCTGCCTCCCCTCCCTGCCTCTTTTCTCTCTTTTCTCTCTCTCTGTCTGTCCCTGTCTGTGCAGGAGACATCACTCAGAAGGGATATGAGAAAAAAAGAAGCAAGCTGTTGGCACCTTACATCCCTCAGATACAAGGTAAGGCACACAGGCCTTTTGGTTATTTTCTGTCATCTAAAAGTTTTGTTTTGTTTTTCTGTATCTGGTTCAATAAACATCTAATCATCCTAACTGCAGCCAAACAGATTTAAATAGCCTAACTGTGGTTTTTGAACTCTGGTGTAAAGAAGCCTGTTTGAAATGGAGTGAAGTCAAACAAAAATAATCAATCTCTCAAGTGAAATAACTTAATATTCATGACAAAACATATTAAAAACAAGAAAAAAGCTGGTTGATTGATGATAATCTTGATATAATCCAAAAAGTTATTTTTTGCAGACTTTTAAAAATTAACGCTAAAGGCTAATAGGACAAAAACAATGAACTTTTGGCTTAAGTATGAAGTCATATGAGTGAACTGTAAACTATTGTGTTTCTATAATAATAAATGAATTTTTATCCTCACTGGGGCAGTCATTTAGTAAACCTTTGAAATGAATATCAAAGAGGAGTTGCTGTCTTTATGGTTTTTATTTTTATTTTTTTGCTTCTGTCTGGTGGTCATAGTCTTTAGTTTGGCTTGATCTCACAGACATGAGTGGAAACCAGAGTCTGCTGTGGGCTGCTGGCTTTCCACTGAACTGAAGAACTGCTATTTAGCTTGGATGAATTGTTTCATTCCTTGTTCAGCACCGTCATTCTTATGGGGTTTCTTTGTGCTATTAATTGCTTGGTGTATTCATTATTTAGCATGGGCAGATTTGCAACACATACTGCAGTTATTTTGGTTAAAGTTTTAACAAAATCCAGATCTAACCATCTGATACTGCCTTCTGTTCTGTCTATTGTTAAAAACAGTTGCTTTCAGTGTTGACTGACACTGAAAAACTTCAGAAATCCATTAAAATAGAGCTGTTTAAGTGTAAACATCTATCAGGGTTGCTGGTTACTGAGCAGTTGACACGTTCTGCCACCCTCACCGCTCGCTGCAGGTCCTCCCTGCTCTCCCATGCAGCTGGTGAAACAAACTGTGCAGCAGCCAGTCAGGACGCTCTCTGCTGCGGACCGATAAAAGTTTTTCGGCAGGGGATGATGGTGGTGTACGTGCTTTCACTTCCTGAGGAAGTAAAGCCTCTGGTGGGCCTTTCCCACCTGCTGGGAGATGTGCACGGGCCGGGCGAGGCCAGCTGAGCTTTGAGCATGAAGAAACTCTGCTCTCCTGGTCTCTGCCTCCTTCCTGTTTGCAGAACAGGTGGAGTGTTTGCTCTGCTGTTGATTGTAACAGGCAAGACCAAGGAGAGCAGTCAAATGGACAGAAATGCATAAAAAGATGGATTGAACAAATTATGAACAGAAGAAAACCAAAGTGTTTTGGGAAGTAATTCATGGTTTTGATTAAAAGAAGCACATATGGGTTAAAAAAGTGTGTTGTGAGACTGCTTGGCTGTGCAGGTTTTAAAAGAAAAACTTTGTAAAAGAAACAGTGAGGAAGTTTTGATTGGGTCACTTTGAGTCAACGCTGTGTTTCAACCTTTAGAGAGAACCAAGTTGCAAAGCACTCTTGCAAACTTCAGCACAAAGTTAAAAATCTGAAAACAAATGTTTATACATTTAAAGACTGAAAAAGGCAGCTTAATGACAGTTCTATAAGATAAGATAAGATAAGATAAGATAAGATAAGATAAGATAAGATAAGATAAAACTTTATTGATCCCACAGGGGGGAAATTTGCACATTACAGCAGCTCAAAACAGGACAGGGTGAGATAGAATAAAGAAAGATAAGTAAAAGAAAAAAAACATTATACTCGTGATATATAACAATGTACATATACCTTGTACAGTACATAAATGAATATATACGAAGGTGCATATTAGTGATGGCAGTGTAGGTGAATTGTCCAAGTGATTGATAACATCATGATGTGTTATACAATAACTGCAGTTGGAATGAATGACCTACAACCTATGAACCAATGACATATAATCTATTATATTTAATGTTATTATAATTCTGCTTTTACTTTGATTAAAACTATTAATTAATTATTTAATTAATTAATTTATTTCTTTATTTAGACAATGAGTGCAACAGCAGTCAGAGGCAGTTCTTTCTAAGTGAATGTCACTTTTGAGTCAATTATATACTGCAGCTGTGGAATTAGATTGTAGCTTTCAGGGTCTAATGTATAATTTGATTTATAGCATAATTCAATTGTATTTGCTTTCCAGGAAGTGACACACATATACCATCCTAACCCACACTGGTAACTGAGTCCTGGCACCAGACAGGTGATATAAATTCATCAGGTCTCACTGTGAGCCAATAAAGACATCTGTTGTGACGGAGAAGACCTCTGATTGGCTCAATGTTGCGTGTCTCTGAAGAATGTTCTGCCCGGCAACCGGGTCTGTCGTCCTGGCTCGTGTTATAGTCGAATCTCCTCAGGGAGCTGAGGAGAGGCTGGTGTGTGACCGGGCTGTCAGTCCAATATAAGAGACCGACATATATTAATGCGCTTATAGTATGCTCGTACTGAAGTGTGTATCAAACTCAAACTAATGCAGGGTTTTTTTTTATGTTAGATTAGGTTTGTGTAACGCTCAGTTGCAGAAATCTCTGTAAAACAGATTTGGTTGAAGTGTGTGAAGGTTGTTTGTGCTGCTGCTGCTGACTGCGTGGAGTTCAGTGATCCACAGTAAGCCGCCCCTGAAAAGCCGAGCCGTCTCATAGCTGTCTGGTTGGATGAGTGTTTGATGGGTCAGCCAGGTAAATCCAACATGTCACTGACTAAATGTGGCTTGCCAGGAGTCTGTCCTCTAATTTGTGTACTAGAATAAACGGCGACTCCGTTAAGCCATGGCTCGGATTTAATTCTTTATTTTTTAAAAGCATAAAAACAGAGCAAATATAAATGAAGGTATACGTTAACCACATTCAGCTGTGTCCTTCATTCCTCAAGGTGCTCAGCTGAATTTTAATTTATTTTTTTTAAGTTTAGTTTTTCATTACACAATAGGAGCTTTAGAGGAAGAAGAGAAATCAGTGGCTGAAAGCTTATCATTAAATCTTGGGATGTTTCAGCCTTGGTTTTGCCCTTTGATGCTGATTATCTAGTGACTGATGGAGCTCAGGCAACAATTAGAAAATGAAAACGATGAATCGGCGCCTTGCAGTGCATAAAACAGAAGATGAGTTTTAAAGGTTTGAATTCCCATCTTTTGTGGCACTCATCGAGCTTAATCACCTCGATTCTGTTAAGTCTGTGAAATTTGCTTTACTTGGAAAACTTGGGCTGTTGGAAAGCCTTATTAGAAGCTGGATTAATTAAAGTGAATACTCTCTCAATACCAAGTTGCTATATTAAAAGAGAGCAGCCTAAGAAGGGATTACATAAAGCTTGTGCATACTTGATCTAGTTGAGCAATATTTAGCAGCGTTGCTTTCTATAAGGCACATTCTGCTAGGGTTACGTAGCTCTGATTTCTGCARCCGAGTATAGACAACAATAGATGTTTTGTCCTTTTGCCTTAAACGGCCTGCTGTGGTCCTCTGTCTCTGCAGGTGTAGATCCATCTCTGCAAATCGACAACAGAATCCAGACCTCCTCTCAAGCCGTTATTCCAGTTTCCAAACAGAACAAGTCCCGGGCTGCCAATGCCCGGGATGAACGCTTCCGATCTGGTACTCGGTATTCAAAAATCTGCAGTTTAAGTGCTCCTATTTTATATGTTTGGCTAAGTGGATGTGTCTCTTTAGATCTGCACACGGAGGCGGTCCAAGCAGCTTTGGCAAAGTACAAAGAGAGGAAGATGCCCATGCCCTCGAAGAGACGCTCAGTGCTAGTTCAGTCTTCAGTGGAGGCATGCACCCCACCAGGTGAGACCCCCACCCCCAAACACACTCCAACACAGCTTGTGTTTTCACCGCTCATTTGTTTCCTATGTTCCCATGAGCATCAGGGTGTAGGAGGGTGACGCTGCGGTGTTCAGCGATTAGAGATGAGGCTGCCAAGCATTTGCAACTGGAAAGAAATGTGCAGCTTGATGAATTCATTCTTTGTGGAATAAAGATTGTTATTTTTTTCCCACAGTTACATTCTCGAGCAAACCTTCCCACATGTCTTCTTTACCTCACACTTGTCCATCACCGTCACTCTTCTCTATCTGTTCCCAATTCTGTCCGTCGCTGACATATAACTCCTTTTCTCTGATCTGCAGTGTTTTTTTCCTCCTTTCTGCCTCTCCATTTCTGATTTAAAATATATTTTCTAACCCTCTCCTTCCCTCAGCCCCCTGTGTCCAACTACTACTTTAGACTGAGAAACATTGGAGAAAGGCAGAGGAATAACAAACAGAATTGTAAATGTGAGCTAACCCGCAGGAGCCCACCAGTTGTAGAAGCATCAAATTGAAAGCCTCTATAAGAGAAGAAGCTAAAGGAAAGTAGCAGTGATTTTTAATAATAACTGTTGGTTGAGCTGTAAATATATTTTGTTAGTGATTAGAAATATTAAATATCTGAAAACCTGTTAGTTTAGGGGATATTAATCAGGCATGTGTTGATCACACACAGGCTGAGACTCAGTAATCCAGTTTTTAGCTCATGTTCTTTTTTTAATGAAAGCTTTTTTGTGCACATTATAATTAAGCCCATTTGTGTAATTTTCTAAGAAGCCTGAAACAGATTTAGATTTCCTTTTTAAAGCTGTTGTTTAGGCGCTGCTGTGACCTCATGTTAAATTTGAAAACAACAGTTTAAGCTAATATTTATTTTTCTTCTAACATTCCAATTGACTTAGCTATCTGCACAGCACTAATTTAAAACAAAGGACAGACATGTTTGGGAGATAAAATGGTTCCACTTTACAATAAGGCTCCCAAATATGTTCATGTTCATCTAAAGGAGCTATATTAAACATTTCATATTAGGTTACTACCTTATAAGCAATAATGATTTAGAAAAACACATATTTTAGTTTAGTTTAGTTTCAGTTTAGTTTCAAAACTTTATTCATTTCTTAAAGGGGATATATCATGTAAAATCAACTTTTATAGTTTTATATCATGTTATAATGTTATCCTCTCATCAAAAACATGCCCAGAGTCTTGCTTTGATTCATTCATGCATGTTTGAGAAATCTTAAGTGTCCTGAGGCAGCAGGCAGGGCAACAAAAATGACAGATTGGGACTAGAGCCATCTTTTGGGATCATCTCCTCCTCTGGGCTGTGTCTCAGAACGAAGCTTCCTCATCACAGAGAACACACACCCGACCTGTGCTGAAATGGGCGGGACAGAAGTGGAAGGAGGTTCTTAAAGAGACAGAGACCAATTTCAAGGTGTTTAGAAACAGATATGATGAGAAGTCAAGTTTATTTTTTATTTAAACATGTACAACAGCGTTTTAATAACAACTGAAGGTGACATAGTTTCTTTTGCTATAGAATTTAAATAAATGCCTGAGAAACACATAATATTGCCCCTTTTAAAAACAAAATTAATTTTATTTACAATAAAAAGAAAATACTAATACAATGAAATAAAAGGCAGCAGAGAGAAGAAATG